CGTTATATTCTGGACCGGGATGAAATCGTTCGAAACTATTTTGAACGCCAAAGGGCCTCACAGTAACATTAGGTGCAAGAAGATTATTCGGAGGCAATGGCCCAGCAAACGAACCAACAGTTGGATGATTATGACCAAAAATATCCGCCGATGGAGGTCTAAATGAACGTTCATTAATAAACATCTCGGTTCCTGATCCTTTGATCCCAGAATAAAAGCCTGGATAATCTTTGCTAAGTGGCTGCTCACCATTTGAATACAAAATTGTGATTCTTGGATCATTAAATAATCTGCCTTGTAGGCCCTCCTTAGCCCGCCGAGCTTCTTCAATACTCCTAAATTCGACTAATGAGAAATGCCTTGAAGGAAAACTTCTAATTCTCTCAATTTCACCAAACAGTATCATAGCATTATGAAGCATTTGTTCATCAATCTGAACGGAAGGAGGGTAACCTACCCACAAAACATTACTTAGCTGTTCTGTTTTTAGGCCTAAAGAGGACTGCAGGAGCTGTGAAATAACAAGATATGTAAGAATAAAATGTAAACTCAAACATGTAAACAACTGCTAGAGAACAACCAAAAAGAATATTGATGGGTATAAATCAATTTATTCTAACAGGACCGAATATATACAACCAACCAACAGCCTCATAAATTAGCATGTGCCTATTACGTGAACAGGAATACTCATTCATGCATAAACATCAAAAAACTAGCGGATTTTCAGGATCAGGACTCACAGGTCTTTTGGCACTCAAGTGGCTATCAGGAAGCCCCACTCCCCTACTGGAAGGAGCATCCCTGTGATCATAGGAGCTTGGCCATTGTTCCTGTTAAAAAAGAGTTGAGAAAAAACGTAAGTTCACTTCAGAAAGCTCAATTGTTCCAGACACCTACAAATGCATGTTCTGAATATATCAAGAACATGGGAGAAACCAAATGTATTATTCGCAATAAGAACCCAGCGTAATTTGACTTTTGACAGGGAACTAAACAGGAAACCACCAAAATCAAAGAGACTCATAAAACAATTAGCAATCCCTGTTTTTCTCATAAAATCTACAAAATAAAATGAAAACTACAAAGATGTATACTAACTCTTCTAGAGGGTTGCGATCGAAGGAAATCCACACGCAACTGCTCGCCACCCATCCCTTACCATTCATGCTCTTTGCAGCTTGGATAGCATTCTCCAACCTCATGTACTCAACAAATGCAGTATTGCGTTCTTTCAGAAACTTAAAATCCTCAATTTTACCAAACTTTTGGAACTCTTCTTCCAATTCTTCCTTGGAAATACTGGGGCTTATTCCACCAACCCAAAGATTCTTGCAAGGTTTAGCCTGGAAAGAAACTTCATTAGAAAGCCATAGCACATATCACAAAGTTCTACAGCCCTAGTGCTGCACAGCACTAAGGATTTTAAATCTTTTTGTGAGAATTACAGCTATTTCACATAAAATCAACATCCATATTTTGTTGCCATATATGTGTTTTCAGCAAGACATTCGATAATACAATTTCTCATACAGATTTCATGTGGTTTCATGTTTAAAAAAAAAAAAAGATAATTATATGTGTGAAATGTCTAAAGGTTGCACATTTGAAATGACTGCTCTTAAAACAAAATTGGATATTCTTTAAAGGAAAAAAAAACAAAAGTGGAAAAATAACCTAAACTAGACGGCAAGTCTGCTACGTACTTATGTATTACTTGTATGGTTACTTCACAAACAATTACAACTGGGATTTCTAGCGAGCAATCAAATGTAAACATTTATATGTAGAGTATACATACTCACTGCCAAGATATGCAGCAATCCCCAACTTTCCTACTTCTAAAGGGTTTTCATACAATGAGTTTATTCTATTTAGTCCGCATTTCAGTCATGATAAGCAAACTAAATAGAGATGCACTGTTCCAGGCATCTTAAAATAGTGTCATTTACATGCACGTAGAGGAAAGAATACTGCCATCTTTATGAAAGAGAAACAAGTGCCATCTCTAAACAAAGTTTGATTGTTTCATCATCTCAATTACACACCATAATTAGCCACTAACAAGGAAGGTTACAGAAACCCTAATATCCTAGTTCGTTTATAGTTAATCATACTGATCAGCGAACAAATATCTTAACTCTTTTTCTTTCTTTCAAAATGACCCAAAAAGTAGCCAAAGGGAAAATGCCTAAGTGCTTATTGTAGCATTATTCCATTGGATGCCTCTCCAGTCTCCATGCCCATATCTCCTCTTTGATCAGGCCAAGCCACAACCCACTCCACTCCCAGTAGACTATAACCCAAAGACCAAAGCCGCTAGGACAAAGGACACCATTGGAAAAAATGATTGACAGTCTTTGAAACATCTCTTTCATATAGGTAGTATCAATTCACAATGACCTTTCCGTCAGATTGTCTATGGTCAACCCCTAGCCACTTCCCAAGCAAAAAATGCCACTGTTACTGATGCATTAATCTTCCAAAATCAGATTCCATAGGAATTCTTTGTTAGCTCTTCCACTCCTTGTAAATGAGAATAGTACAATTTTACCCAAAAATAAAATTCCTTCTTGAATTAAGCCTCCAATGTGGCTCATCCAAGGCTGTAGGCAGGGTCCCATCTTATGACAGATATTGCATTATGTTCACATATCTATGGAGTTAGCTCTTCCGCTTCGTATCAAGTCATTAAGATTCTTTGGCTGGTTGGCAGATAAATTCTAGAGATCTGGTTGTGGGCTGTCAAGAATTGAAAGAAGGCTATCACAATGTTCGGAGTATTTGGAGGTATATCAACAGCAGAACCTTTGATGTTATCAAATATCCTTTCCAAGGATCACAAACTTTTTGCCTCTACCATCTTTTGGTTGAATTATCGCCTTACCTGCAGATTTTGTTAGTTACATGACCTTATAGATCTTCCAATTGTGCCTTGATGTATTTTACTTCCTTTGTACATGGGTAGCACCCCTTGGTAACTTGTGATTAGTAGAACTTAGTTGTTAAAAAAGAAACAGAAGCTTAAAAAGATTTATTAGATCTAAAAATCAAAACTTTATCTATTCTAGAACTTAAGAGCAATAAAAAAAATGAACTTACATATACCAAAAAGAGGCCAAAGAGCCCATCACCAAGATATTCGACATCAAACTATTACTTATTTCCCTAAGACTTTTCAAGGTTCACTTCTTTTGGCAAAATGAGAGCAATAAATGTATAACTATACTGAAAGTTCAAATTGAGAAATACTAAGTTCAGTTAATTGGAAATAATTAGATAAAAAAGTTAACACTGAGGCTTCGCTATCGATGGAAAATTACTTAAACACTTGATAATTAGCAATTTAGGTAGCACAACAGATGTATTAAATGTAAATCTACTAATCAATTTCAAGAGCATATCAGCCAAATAAAAGTTAATCCCTTGAAAGGGATATCACAGTAAGCTTCAGCACAGCATTGTTTGATTTATTGTTTACTTGTGAATAATTTGATGCCTCAGTTATGTCTATTGTGCAAATGCAGGTACCTGAATATATAAGAAACACCACCTAGACATTATATAGTTAGTAGTATATCTAACTCTTCTACACGCGCAGCACACTCCTAGATCTTTGCTGATTATCTTGTTATTAGCGTATATGACAAACCACACAGAGTATCAAATTTAAAATTTCTATACAGACATTGTCGTGTTACATGTTTTAACAGAGTTCGGAATTTCTATATGATAGGCCAAATTTTAGAGGCACGAATCCAGTCAGCCTTGACAGAATTCGCAAATTCCAGGCAATTGAGATGCAATCACACAGGAATTGTCGTTAGTTGAATTCGCGTACGTAAGCACCACCTCTCTCGGAAACGAAAAGGAATAAACGACAGGAATATTTCGTGGAAAAACGACAAAGACAGCAAAATATGTAGACAACAAACCCCGCTAATGAAATAACAACTACGATAACCTAAGTAAGCGCAGAGATCAGAACAAACCGGTCGAGCAAACTCGATCTTAATCTGGTTTCCCCCCAGCATGGACCCCTGCAACGCCTTCTTGGCTGCTATCGCGTCCTCCACACGCTTGTAGTACACGAACGCGTAACTCCGAAACGAGTAAGCCGATAGACTATCTAGCTCGCCATACTTCCTGAACAGCGCCACCAGATCCGATTCCAACACATCGGCCGGTAAATTTCCGACCCAGAGATTGTTCGATGGAGCATCGGAAGCCTCCTCCGACTCTTTTCCCCGCTTAAACGGCGGAACCATTTCAAAATTTTCCACCCCCCCGGTCAGCCCAACCTAGGGTTTTCTTCGGCACCTAGGATCGATATAATGATTGTTTAAATTCACAACAAATACGCAAGAACACCGATCAACAAAAACAAAAAAGAAAAACCCTAGATAACGATTATCGGATACTATTGATAGGGCTATAGAAAACAATAAAGCGAAAAATACTACAATACGATAGAGAGGTTTCTACCTACTTGTATGAATTATACGTACAAGCAAGCAGATCGACGGAAATCGAAGCTTCTCAGAAGAACGAGCGAGAGAGAGGAAGACGAAAGATCTTCTTTTATTATTATGTAAAGGGATATATGACGGATCAGTCGGCTTATATATACTGCATTATTCGGAGCCTGATTAGCTGACTCCTTTGGGGTAGGGATTAAACCCGGTTTTATTAGGTATTTTATTATTTTATTCAAAATATATTTTTCATTTTATGTTATAATAATTATTATTTATATTTTCATAAAAATATAAAATTTTTATTAAATCTTATAAAAATTAATCTTATCTTATTTAATTTTAAAAACATTATTATTTACTCACAATTTTTTTTATGTTCTAAATTAATATTTAATTTTTATATATTAAATTACTCGGATATTATTATTATGTTTATTTAAAAAATTATAAATAAAAATAAAAAATAAAATTATTAATTTTTAAAAATAATATTTTTTATTAATAAAATGATAAGTTTAAATAGCAATAATAAAATATACAAAATTTAAAAAGAAATTTTAAACCAACTTTCTTTTCTTTATTATTTCCTCTCTAAAATTGGAGATAAACAAAATTATGAATTGACTACTTTTTCCTCGTTTGAATAACATTCTATTAATTTAATTGTTAATTTTTAGAAATATAATAATAATTATATTAAAATTTACATTGTTTTAAAATACTATTAAAATATTTAATATTTAAAATATAAATATTATGTTAAATATTTATTACTATAAACTAAAAAATAAATAAAATAGGTAAATCTCAATATTTGAACTAGTTTATTTTGAATAAAGTGAGTGATATTTATTGCATTTTTTAGATATGAATTATTTTTTATTAAATATATTTATGTTTATTTAATGTTTTTACTAAATCATATTATTTAAATATTCATTTAAATTTAATTTAAAAAATATACTTAAAATACTATTCAAAAAATTTTATGTTAACCTTTATATTTTTTTCTATTAAAATGTATTTTTAAAATTTTTAAATTAATTTAAAATAATTTTTAAAAATTAACACTATCAATTTTATATATACGTAATAAACAGTGTATTCGTACAGATATAAATAAAAAAAAAAATTATTAACGAATACTAAAAATTACAAATTATTTTTTCTAAATTCATTCATAGTGAGTGATTCCCTTCTCTACATCCCCCTTATTTTCTCCTTCATCCTCCTCCACTTTTATCCCATCTCCACACCTTCATTTCTAGTGGTGGCTCCTCTTGTTTATACCTCATTTTTTTAGTGGTGGGTATTTTCTTGTGCACTCATAATTTTTTGAGGTAAAATTTTATATATACACATATATCTTTGCATATATATATATATATATTATATAAAGAGATATTTTGTAGTTATTGTGAAATATGCTTTATATTTTAACTTGTAATAAAGAAATTAATCACACATTTTGGCTTTAAATAGAGATATATAGTTATATATATAATACTAGCACACTTTATAACAAACAATAAAATTTTATTTTTTTATTATATAAATATCATAGTAACACAATTAGTGAAATATCTATCGACCAATTAATAGTTAGTATAGGTAGTAACAAAATTGAACTTTATATAAACCATAATGTAAAACATTAAATCAGTAACATATGTGTACTTATTTCATAAATTATTTTTGACAATATATAAACTAAAATTATTAATATAATACACGACGATGATATTTTGGTTAAATAATCTTAAATAAGTTTGTTGATTATATCGAGGTCATGTTTGACATTTTTCATAATCTCGAGTTCTTGTTCAATTTTGTATTGTTTGCCTCGAAACTTTATTAATTCAACATACACATCTATAAATTCATCATCCGTCTGATGCAAAAGGATAATAAATTGCTCACTTGCATCACCATCTTTTTTATCTTCAATAATAATTTGATGTTATTTCAATGTTTTGTTACTAAAAAAAACATACAATCGTAACGAGTGTGAAGATGTATCAATTAATATTAATTAATCAAATAACTGAGAATAAAATACTAATAAAATGAATATTATGCAAACATTATGACTCGAACATCCAAAAAATATTTTATTTTTATTCCACAAAGTCCATCGAAGGACTGTCGATAGCGTACAACAGCATCATCATAATCGATTTATGTCTTTGTTATTGTAGATAACATAAAAAAATACGATTTTATAACATTTCATTATGATTATCATATAAAAAAGCTATACCAATAAATTAATACTTTTATAATTATCCGATTTGTTTTTATCTAATCATTCACTAATTAATATATTATAAAGTAATTTTTACTAATTAACTTTTTATAATTAATTTGCTCATTAATTTGTTGCAAACAGACACCAATTATTTTATCTTAATTAATTAATTTCTCGTTGACCCCTCACTAACATTCCTAATTACTTTTGATCTAATTAAGTTTGCCATCAATTTGTCATAAACACAACCAATTATTGTGTCATAATTAATCAATTTATCATAATTTTCTCGTTAATCTCCCCAATTAATATTCACTTGACTAATCTCCATAATTAATTATCTCCTTAATTAATTTCCACTAATATGGTATTCAAGTTGTCCTATCACTAATTAATTTGCTCTTAATTAATTTTTGTCCTAACAAATTCTATCCTTAATTTATCCTAAAAAATAATTAATTTGTCCTTTTTCATTAATTTCTCAATAATTTCCTTATTTAATTTAGAACTAATTAATTTATCATCTCTCTCTCTCTCTCTCTCTCTCTCTATACATATACGCATAGACCGCTCTGACATTCAACTTTGGTGTTGGGTGGGGGTGCTAGTCGGCTTGCCAGACATGGGAATTTACAGGGTGGATTTTGTCTGTTGCTGTCGGGGGATTGAGTTTGATTGAGTTACCTGCCTGTGAGTTACAGAATATGAAACTTTCGAATGCGATTGGACAGTGAGGAAGCAGATTGGTGAATTTTGCTTTATGAGAATCCAAATTAAAATATAAATAAATAATATTTTTTTTTCAAGGGAGAATCTTAAAGGAATCAACTCATTAGGAATCAAATATGTGGGTCCCAAAAATACTAAACTAGGTCAGTACTAGTTTATTAAATAAATTAATCCCCACAAAATATGTTTTTTGTTATAATAATAACAAACCACAGCCCAATTATTACAATTTTATTAATCTATTAATAAATTAAATCATAGAATTACTTAATTAAATATAATCATTATATTTAATGTTGTCACCTTTTGTTATTTAATATATAAAACAAGTATAATTTATATATTTAATGATTTAAATAGTAAAACAACTTATGTAGTAATAATAATTTTTTATTTAACCCTTAAATATTTTTTTTTAATACAAACTCTTATACTTTTGGAATGCTACTAAATAAACACTAAAAAATAGAAAGAGCTAACTCATTCTTAATTAATGCTACGTGTTTTAAGTTATATGTAGATGATTGACAACTTGTTAATGAAATTAATTTTTTTTGTCATATAATCTGTAACGATTCCGGAAATATTCAAATGAAATAAAAAATAATTAAAGTGTTAAACCGTAATAAATGTTCAGAGTTTACATTCTTTATACAAATAATTTAAAGTACAAAACAGTGTTACAGAATTCACTATTTTAAAAGAAATACAAGAATAAAGAGATAAACAAAAAATAAAGAAATATAACATCTAACCGCAATCCTCATGCGGACCGGGCTCTGGAATCTGATCCTCTTAATCTGAAATGATTAAATAAGGGATGAGCTACACTACCCCAGTAAGGATATCACGCTATATCACCGATAGATAAGTAAAGGTTGGTATAAAATTAAAATACTAATGGAGTACTTAATTTAAACTAATACATTTATTAAAAATAAAATCGTTTACCGTTCACTTAATATAGTAGAATTCATAAAAATAACTTATGCAGACAATAATATCATATAGATCATAATTTCATGTGAAATCAGCAACATAACACATATAATAAGTCTATATACATCGTCAATAAACCAAACAATAACTGTTGCTTTTTCCACTAAACTATTAGTATCTATGGAGGTTCATAGGGATGCCCCTACTACACGCGAACCCTTTCATTTAATAATCTCAATTACGAGTCATCCCTATACCCCGTCCGGTATGAGTGCCAAATTATTAAACCTCAATACCCCGTCAGGTATGAGGGTAAAACGAACCGTCCCCATACTCCGTCCGGTATGAGCTCCAAATTATTATGTCTCCATACCCCATCCGGTATGAGACAACGTTCACAGTAGGATTCTTTAAGTATCCGGTCCGTCCATCATCTCTTAGGATATCCAGTAAGGCTGCCGTCTTCATCTATTCATTTTACCACACAATTTTCTCATTTTCCGTTAGTCTTCATTTTCCAAATCAATCATAATCACATAAGCAAACAAACATGTATCAGGGAACACAATCATATATCAATTTTCCAACTAAACAGTGGTAACGTAAGACAACAATACATGCATTCAAACTATAAAATTGATAAATCAGATACTATCATGCTTTTAAATTGTAAAATAAATCAATATAAATCAATAGAGAACAATTTTCGGTTCTAGCTCTATTAGTAATACGTAATTAATTATGCACATTTATTAAATTTGCACAAAGTACTATATTATTATTTATTTAAACTTCAATTCTATGATAGAGAATAGAGTGAGAAATCCTTATTCGATTTGGTACCCGAAAAACTAAGTTGTTCAACTGTGCCTACGGGCAATTCTCAAGTTCCTTGAATTTTTTTTTCGAGAATTAAAACGTGCTAATAATACTTACAAATGTCCCAAACAAACCAAAAATCAGTTCCGGGACCCACTTGGCCAATTTCAGAATTTTGGCACGGCGGCTTCGTCGTGCTCCGGCGGCGACGGTCCGTCTCAGATTGACTGTTTTCGGCTGATTCTGCATCGATCCCTGAGAGAAAACACGTTAAATGGCCTCAGTTGGCCCAAAAAATATAAAAAAAAATCGAAACTCACCGGCGGCGGGACTCTCCGGTACGACGACTCCTCCGACTCATGTTGCGGTTGAGTGTTTTGCTTCGGTCAACCTGTAAAGAAGGACACGGTGATCGCAACAGTGAAAAAATTATACAAAACGGGAATCGAGAAGGGCCTCATCGGAGGCGTTTTGTGAAATTCCCTGTGGTGATGCTTTTAGCCTTTGCTTGCATTTTTCGACTAATTGGCCGGTTTTTTTGCTCCGATTTGGCTATAAGTGTTTTTAAAATTGAATTTCGAGCAAAAGAGAAAATTTTTACCTTTTTTGGCAGTCGGAACAAACTTCGGTGCGGCGACGGGTGGCGGTAGTGTCCTTCCGGCGAGGGGGTCTGACGGCTAAGGTTAGGGTTTAGTGTGGATAAAGGTTATTTATATCCGTCTGCTTTTGATCTAGACCGTCTATCGCGTTTGATCTGAATCGTTTATCGTGATTCAATCTGCACTGTCCGATCGCATTCAAATATGACTGTTTGATCGCATTTGGGGAGAAAACACATCTGGGCCGTCCGTGCGTGCTGGAATTGACCTGGGCCATTCGATCGCAGGCACGCGGATCGCCTGCGTGGCCTCCCGCGTGGCACCGCTTCAGCGTTCGCTGCTACGCGGCGCGTCCTGATTTGCCAGACCTACTGATCGAATGTTTGACGTGGTAAAACTTTTCTAAATTGCATTTTGACTACTATTTTCTTATTTTTCTTTCAAAAATATCCCTAAAACCCAAATTTTCACATATTTTTTTCAAAATTGTTTTCAATTTAATCCTTCATAAATTTTACTTCATTCTTACTCTAAATTAAAATTAAAAAATTAAGAATTTACATTTATAATTAAACCTTAAATTACAAAAAAATTAATTTAGCGTGTTACATAATTATCCACATCATCACATTATATCATTTTTTTTAGAAGACAATTATAAAGAGAGCTCGAGGAGAGAGAGTGCGAGACTAACAAAGAAAGAATCGAGAGTAGAGAAAAGCTTTACAAGAGAGAGAGGCTCGAGGACAAGCTGTCAAGAGAGACGCGTGAGCTCGTGAAATCTTGAGTAGGTTGTCGAAGCACCTTATACTAATATTTTTATATTTAAGTCAATTAACTTTTTTTTTTCTTTTTGTTGAAAATATTATATATTTTAAAAATATTTAAAATTAAACAGGAGTTAACTAACCGTTAATGAACATTACATGTTCATATTACTGTGTTGTTGATTGCCATGTGTTCTGTTGATGATGTAGAAATTTTATTTGAGTATAAAATTATAGATGGATTATTATTTTGTCTCTGTAAAAGGAGTATAAATTTTAAAATTAATCATTCTATATAAAATATATAATCGCAAAAACTAATAAAAATTTAAACTACAACAAAATCAAACCACAGAAGATCAAATTATAATTAACTCTAACATGAATTATCAATTAATTACATATAATATATTGTTTTAGGATCTTTTCTCTTATCACCATTATAAACATTACTTGTATAGAATTGATCATCTCATCATCGAACAAAGCTTATTTCGTCTTCGATTAAAATTTTTACTATCACAACAGTAATAAATTTTGAAATTTGATTGTAACATACTCATCTTGTTTTTACAACAACTGCTACCATCCATCAGCACACTATGGTTTAACTTCCTCTAAAATACTACTAATTAATGTGAATGGAGGAGAAAAAGTTGCAAAACCTACCTGGTCCGAGGTGCTCGTATAATTCATCCCCCTGGGTTTCGTTTGCTGGGGGATTAGCTGTCTGTAAAGCATATCCAATGCAACCAGTGAAGAAAATGGCAGTTTAGGCGCTGCTAGTCCTACCTTCTAATCCTTGTATATTCAGTAATGTCTACTGAGGCAATACTTATTCATCATTATGGAAACGTGTGGAGGCAAGTTGGAGACCTCTCCTAATAAATCCTTTCAATTGAATTATACCGTAGACCAGAATCCTTGCTAGCCCCTCAATTTCAGATTCGTATTGCTCGTAAATGAAGAAACCAGTGAACATGAATGCCAACACTGTAATATACAGTAAGTATGAGAAGGAAAAATTGAAAAAAATTGGGAATAGTATTGTAATGGTTTAAGCAAATGGTCGCTTACCTACGGCAATCACCACTGTAAATGACTGCGTGGCAATCAATGTGAGAATATAGAGAGATACCGCTGCCTGAAATGGACAAATACAGTATTTGTATATTCCGCAAAGGAGAGGCATTCTATCAACCCACATTTATATACAACTAGAAATTAGACATCTTTAGACTATGTTGAAATAGAACTTAAGAATATTTGTAGAATTCATTTGCAAATTTACACTTAGCCAGACTGAGTATGGATTTGCAGGAAGTTACACCAAAATTACAAAGTCTGTTCCATGCATAGCCTTGATGGATTTGTAATGCAGAAATGATTATTACTGTACCTTGAAGAAATTATTCCAATCATCTCCTCTGCCGAGTGCTGCAATATTCTGAGCCAACCTGTTCCACAGATAAACTATGCTTCGGATTGAGTCTCTCATGCCTACTTCAGAGACTTCGAAGCAAGACAAAGGTATACTCTTGACAGGAAAGCCGAATCTGTTGCAAAAAATCATAGTCAACAAGCCCATAGCTTAAAGCAGGTAAATAAATTAATGAGGCCAAAAGCTGCAATCTCAGGAAAGGAAGTGGGAGAGGAGGAAGAGAATTCAATCAAGTGAAAAACAAGATTTTAAGAATTACTCAGTCTACTCGCATATGAACCATATAACCTACTTTGCCTTCATAACCTACTTCGCTAAAAAATTAACCAGTAACTACAGACTCCAACTTGTAAATTTTTACTGAAGTAAGATGTAGATCATTAGCTAACCTAGTTTTACTCAATGGAAGAATAAGCTACAGATCCCGTACTTCTTACTCAAGTTCAATGGGCAACATACAGGCATAACCTAAAATTACTGAAATTACCCGACCCAAAAGATGAATCAATAAGATAATCCAAGAAGAAAGGATATACAGATACTGTAAAAAGATTAAGACCAATGAATTAATACAAACCAGAAAGAACCAGAACCGGACCATTGAAGAATAATTTCTAGCAGTCAGAAGATGAGTGATTTAGAAACAACTAAACTCATGTGGATATTCAAGGCTCTGTAAAACCTACTCACATATTTAATGGAACCATGCCACAACCATAAATGAGGATTGAAACTAGAAGCAGAAGCTGTGCTAAGGAAGAAGTGAAAGTTCTTCCATCCAGAAAAAACCAGTAAAACAATACAACCACAAGGAGGAAGCATGTGAACGTTCTCTTCTCATCTCTCCACAGCAAAATGTCTGCAACTGCAAAAAGATAGTTCGGGGTCATTTTCTATGAAAGTTATAAATATGATCTCATCAACATAGCCTACTATCACAAGGAAAATGAACTGATGACTTGCAGCTCAAAAGTATGTTTTTCTTATTTGATAAGAAACTTTGTTCCATTTGGTCTTACAATTTAATGCAAGCGGTGTCCTACCAGGCTTTTAGGCTTAAAGAACAACAAGCTTCATGTTTATCTATCGCATAGAAAATGCCAGACATCAACATTCATATAAAAGAATGCAACAGGTTACAGAAGCCTATACCAACATCTAATTTCATCACTTCTTTAACAAGAGATACTTCATAATTTCCTAGCATTCATCAGACAGTATGCATTCAGCCAATCAAGCATAGGATACCAGGGCAACTAGGTAGTATTCGACCGAGCACAGCCAGAGCCAGCTCTGCAGTTAGGAGATGGTTACTTTTACCTGTAGCTCAGCTTAACACCTACTGCAAGAAACAACAATGAATAACTAGGAACTAAAGAAGAAAAACTCCAATATTTTGTTTGGTTAAAGTCATTTTATATTTTATTTTACTTCTAAATTTAATTATTTAATAGGTAGAATTTAATCATAATTTACACATCTAATATAAAATTAAATCAACTTTACTCAGAATTTAGTAGGAATACAAATAAGTCTTATAAAAAGAAAAGAACTTCTAATTATAAAAGTCGATTATGATTCTTTTTTATAGAGATATTTCTTTAGAGATACCAATCTATATAAAAATTGAACTTCTATAAAAAGTTAGATTTCTACAGTTTTCTACTAAAATATTCTCTAATTTTTTCCTATATATATATATATATATCAAACTGTTGTGAATTAAGTATCATGAATAAAAATTCAACAAACAAAAAATTTAATTGCAAATTTTCAATTTATATCGGTATTTATCAATTTAATAATCATAAAATATTTGACTCTGAAATATAGTTGACTTAAAATTAGAATACTATTTGTTAAAGAGAGAATATGTAATTAGGTAAAAGGACATTAGTAAAATACACCATATGTAATTAATGGTTTATTTATTTTCTATTCTAAAAAACCTGCATATATACGATTATGACATTCAATAAAATACACGCTCAATCATTTTTAAGATGATATCAAGCATAAAGGAAAAAACCCTAGGCCCCCTTCACAAATCCTAATCAGTATTCATTCTCAAAATAAAACACAAAAACCAACGGGCCAGTCTTTATGGCCGACCACCAAAAATCAGCCGATCCCCCACCAGAGACCAGCCTCCAACACCAGAAGTTAGCCTTCATCACCAACATCAAATTCTCCAAATGCGCACAGCTAGCAGAGCGCACAGCTAGCTGCAGCTCCCCTTAGTCTGTGCGCTTCTGCTCAGTTGGTTTGTGTCTCTGCCTAGCCGCCAAACCTGTGCCCCACCTCTCTCCAGCTGTATGCCACCTATTTGCTCAATTGCCCCTTGCACGGTGATCCTATCAAGTGCACTCAATCAGCCTCTGGCGACCGTGCTTCCTTCCGTCCAGCCAGTAGCATACTACCTATGACTTTTATATTTGTCCTTAGTTGTCCTAAAGCTCTTAAAATATATCGGGGGTTACATCCTAAAGTACTAGAACATTCCTACATGGGAAATTTTATCCAAAACAATAGTGAATTTGACCAATCCAAGATGTTATTGCTTCATCAGGAATGACTATCTGATTTGGTCAAAATTACTTCGGATCACACTCAAACGAAAAGGAAAACTCAGTTAGCTCCTGGGCATTGACCAAAGTCAGGATACCAACTTTTGATGCATGGGATAAGGAACACTTGAAGTCTGAGTGCAGAATCAGAATGTCAAACAGTAGCTCAAGTGGTATATAAATTACTATTGCTAAAGAGAATTTTCGAAGATCTAAAATAAAGTGAGACAGTTCCATGTGCTTATATCGTGACAATAAATTGGTTATAATTATTGCCCACAAGACGGTGCAATATGATAAAACTAAACATGTTGAGGTTGACAGACACTTCATCAAAGAAAAGCTAAATAGTGGTTTAATATGTATTAGATACATGCCAACCAGTTTACAGCTAACAAATATGTTGACTAAAGGCCCAAGTAATCTATCATCCCAGACTATCACTGGTAAGTTGGGAATAAGCAAGATTTATTTCCCACCTTGAGGGGAGAGTGTCAACTAGAGAGTATATAATTAGGTTAAAGGACATTAAAGTAAAATACACTTTATGTAATTAATTGTTTAATTCATTTTTAATTATAGGAAATCTGCATATATAGGATTGTGATATTCAATAAAATACATACTCAACCATTCTTGGCACTATCTTTATTAAAATCTAATCTCATTTGTACCGTACTCCCATTATGTTATATAGAATTTAAATTTGAACCAAAGTAAGAACCGCATGTATAAACATTTAGCTTCCAGATGATTTATACTTATTTGCATATTTGAATCATCATTTGTCAATTTTCTTTTAACTATTATCTAAACAAAAAGTAAATGATTAGCCGTGCCAATAAAAACTATGAAGTTTCATATAGCAGAAGAAGTTTCTAACCTTTCCCACCACCAAGCAGCTTATCTGCTTTTGATAGTTTATCAAAGTCACTGTATCTCACAACAGATGAATCTTTGGCTAAATGACAGAATGATTCAATGGTTCGCGCAAGACCCTCCTGTGTCATCAAAAGCATTCATGCACAACTAAACCTCCATTTTTTTTAACTTCAAACATTATTCAATAAACTGCACTACAGAAAAGGGGGAGGGCCATTGAGTGCAGCAATGCCACTGATAAAGAACAGAAGTATAATAACATAAAATAAAAAATTTAAAGCCTTACACTAGATTATTGGGGGAAAAAGGCTCTCATGTTACAGTCATACTGCTCTCTTTAGAAACATACCACAATGCAAATAATAACAAGTGATGCACCTTAAAACCCTCTGTTCTGAGGAAAGAAATGAGGAAAAGAGAGAAGAATGGGAAACCATGGGAGCAAATGGATATAGGGACATGTCTATTACTCAATAGAGAGGAAGGAAAGGAAAGGGAAACGAAATCGGCAAGTGAGTAGAAAGGATTTTTATGATTTCTAATATATTGAAACAACGCCCAACCTGCAATTGATGATTTTTCTTTTCTTTGTTTACCTCTCTTCTTTTTTAAATAAAAATGGTTTGCCATCCAGAGGGAAAGTTCAACAATTGCAATCTTTTGCTCTCATGATTTTTTTTTTCCAACCAAAATAGCATTGACCACAGCTGGTTTCGCATAAATCATAATGGTAGGAGGACATCCATAGAGACACATCTCTCATTGCTCAATAAGTTTGAAAATACGAATATCCCTTCTGAAAACTGGAAAACTAAAAAAGGGTGACCAAAGAAAGAATATTTGACAGACCCAGAAGTCAACTTCTTTTTCTTTTTCTGTTTTGGATCAATAACATGCTTCCTCAAGTGAGATAACCTGAAGTGACTAAACAGTAATCAAATTATCACAGAAAGGACAGCATGAGAATTTGGACAAACAGAAGAAAAAAAGTTACAACCAGATGAACAGTGAGATGTGGGTCTGGTCTGCATATGATAATGTTCCCTAAAGAAAATGAAACTTATTAAATTATAAGCAAGATGTACTCGGACAAATAAAGAGATAGAAGGCAGGGATCAAACTTATACGTCCATAACAGATAAGATAGTAAAATACCAAAAGAAACGTACTTCCTGGGATATGACTGGTGAATACCCAAGAAGTTCTTGAGCTGCACTGCAGTTAAAAGTTCTTGTACGCAAGGCTAGTTGAAAAATGTAATGAGGTGACACAGAACAATTATGCATTCCAAGGTCCAATTTTTCATGCATCCACATGACAACCGAGAGAATATACCACACCATCTTAGCATGAAGTTTTACTGATGGTCTGCAATCAAAAGAAATCACAATTCAATTGCAGAGACAAACTGGATGCTGCACTGAGGGATCAACAAAATAGTTCTCATTGATCCATATCCAAGACAGCCAAATAATTATCATTAAATACATATTGAAATTTGAGAAGACAAATAAATTTTTCTATTATCGGTAACTACATATACATATACATATTGACAAACACAACCACATGTAAACACCACAACATCAAAACAGGAAAATGAAGTTGATAAGGAGAAATACTTTCTATAACTGAGAGGAAACAGGATATAATGCTGAGTTCAATGAAGAAAAGCTTTTTGGATTAAAAATTTACCAGAATATTAAAGGAAAGGAGAGAGTATTTATTTTCTCAGCTAGCATAATCTGTGCTTTTGGTGTTCTATCCTTTTTCTCTCTCTCCTTTTTTTTCTTTTGAGTTGACTTAATTTCAATGGTTTTGTTCAAATTGTTGTGCCAATTAGGATTCAACCTATGCAACAATACAATTAGGCAGGCAGAAGCAAAGGAGTCAACAATCATGTTATTATAATTGACCACTGCCTCTAAACTAACCCTTTAGTATTGTTTGAATCCTCACTTACCTTTCATATCCCAACCCCTCAAGTATGTTAGACACGAAGTCCCAGAACTTCATGGGCTTGAGATTAGTTATAAAAAATGCCTGCAGATAATTTACAAAAAGATTCGTCATTATCTAAAAACCTTGTCAGAAAGTCATGGGCAAGAGCACTGAATAAATTCAAGAAGTATGATTACCTTTCCTGCTACAGAGACCTTTTTGGAATCTAGAGCTTCTGCTGCACAGATATTTGCATGGGCAACATTCTCAATATAGGTGAAGTCAGACATATTTTCACCACTCCCTATAATAAACTGAAATGAGAAATCCTGTTACTTCAACTAAAGTCAACTAGAGATGTTTCATGTGTGGAGGAAATAAAAGACAGAAAATTTCTGAAGGTGGCTAACAATAAATGGATTTTCTGACAATACTGCAGCTATCTGCTGCACAATCATTGCTCTTTTAGGTCATAAAGTATCTCAAGATAATATATAAGAACATATGAGATTAAATAGAATGAAACTGAGAAGCCTCAAAGGTATGTGATTCCCTTCAAATTTCCAATGAAAAAAATATGCGACTAGAATCACTCTGCTAAACATTCACTTAAAGAAGTTTCAACATCAATACCATATAACATACAAGTAAAAATAACACAACTAAATGATGCACAAAAATAGTTCTCAACCTTTGCCCAACCAGATTTTGCAAAATTAACCAGAAAAGGCACAATCTCTGTATCTCCAGGTCCAAACACATTGCTGGGACGAAGTGCACAGGTCAAAAGCCCATCAATATCATTGGCAAAAAGGACTAGTGCTTCTGCTTGGGCTTTAAGGTCAGTCAGCAGGTCTTGAAACTGTAATGATCCGTCAATAAGAAGAAAGATCATTTAAATACAAGAAATACGGAAAAAGCTTTTCTTAGATCATGAAGGAGGAACTTACTTTCCAAGGATATCTCAAGGTTTCATCCCCACCATTTATATCTTGTGAACCATCAAAAACAACATCTGCAGAACTGTTGTAGATGAGCTGTTTAACTTTGCACTCTCGGCATGCATGGATGACATTCTTTGCACCTGAAGCAAAAGCCAAATTAAAAATTACTAGTATTTCATTGGAAATGCAGCAATTCCATAAAACATTGGTTTATACCATTACCTAGTTATGTACATAAAACAGCAACAACAATAATGACAAGACATATAACATCCTCTACCTTGAACTATGATCATGTAGCAATGATAGAAATCATGAGTGCGTACATCAGTGGGATCCATGTAGAACACAACATATGAGCCTTCAATAGCTGCCACCAGTAAGTGCTATAAACAGTCAATTCTTCAAACCCAGATTGCATATCAAGAACTGAAATGAGAAGGCAACTACTAATAACAGATTAATGACAGCATCTAAGCTACCAAAAGCTATAAACAAGTACTTAACATAAGCTCGCATTTAGAGAACTGGTAAATGGACAGGAAACTCCTAACAACTTATTAATGACAGAGAAATAAGGCACCAAAAGCTATTGACAAGTACTTAATATAAGATTGCAGTTAGAGAGAGGGAAAAAATATACAGGAACCTGCAAACAATAAGTTAGTGATGGAAAATAAGAGGCAAAGGGAGCAAAAAGGGGCCACAGATTGCCTTTTAAGAGAAACCATTCGATATACAAATTTTTTTTCTTACATTTCAGATTTTGCCTGCAGTAATACACAATATAACACATTTGGAAATGTGATCGGGAATAAGCCATTGTTTGACTGCTGAAAATATCCAGAAGGATGAAAATGCTAGAAACTCAGTACGTTGGATATTTTCTTTTCCTTTCTAACACCTTTTTGGAAATCAAAATCACGATTTCACTTTATTCATTTTCTATCCAACTGCTTCTTAGCAGCCAAACTTAAGCAACTGAAATAAACACTACACGCTCCACAATTTCCTCTCAAGTAAACCTTGATCCAACAACTATTAGTGTACCGGGAGAACTCCTAAGTTCTTCTCACGTTTTCCTTTCTCACATTTTCCCGGCGAAACAAACAGCATATGTAGACATAAAGGTTAACATATAATTACCAAATAGACAGAACTAAAATTAGAAAAACGAAAAGAAACTCCAACTTAATCCAACGTTGAGTTCATTACTACGCGCTGAAGCGGTTTCCACTACGGAGCTCGAATTTCAAAGGAGCGAACACCAAATTCTCGTGCCGATTAATTCTTCTCCCACATTTTCTGAAGAACCAAACAACGTTCGCAAACAACAAGAAAAGACACCGTACATAAACAACTACACAGACATACAGATAGATTTAATATGGTGTACGTATAGTCTGATGAACCTTCGGCTATTTGAGATTTAACACGAACATCGACTTGGTGATAGGTAGCGCGACAGGAGGCGAGAGCATTGGAGATGAGCGAGTCGGAGTCAGAGTATGGATCAAGTTGAAGAGAGGGAGTAGAATCGGCGACTCGGACGATCCAGTGGCCGAGTCGGAGTAGCCTCGAGATCAATGATCTCCCTAAGAAACTTCCGCCACTGAGGACCACGCACGTCTTGAGACTCGAATCCACAGATTGATCATCCATCTCCATTAACGCTCTCTCTCTCTCTCTCCCTCCCTCCCTCCCTCCCTCTCTCTCTCTCTGCACCTGCAGAGTGATTCCAAATTCCAGAAAGAGAGAAAATGAATTCTCGCTTTGCTAATTTAGTTGTTGTATTCTAAAATTAATCCGTCTCCTTTTTTTTTCCATTTTATATACGTACAGAGAGAGAGAGAGTCGGCTTGGCGCGTACAATTAAAAATTAGTAACAAAAAAATATTAAAAATAATTTATTCTTATTTTTTTACGCTTGTTAACTATTTCCATATTTTTATTATTGCGTTTGAATTATTTTTATCGTAGCTTTTTTTAAAAAATAAAATTAATTAGAAATTCAATTAAAAAATAAATTTTTATTTACTAAAATAACTAATTATTTTATTATGTTTTTTATGGTGGTTAGAGTGGTTGAGAACAAACTACCAAAACCTGCAGTTAAAAGGGTTAGGAGTTTTGAATATGAAAGAAATAAATTAAAAAAAGATGACATCATTAAGTGGAATTATCAAAAACACCTTTACAGGATCGGAAATGATAGTGATGGGGAACCGTTGAGGTTGTTAAATCCACCAAATATTTTGAAAGCTGAATTTATTAATACGTTAAATAATAATTTATAAACGTTTCCGCACTTTTTAAAAAATATACGAGAGACAAATAAGATATTTGTATTTAAGTATTTTTTTTTAAAGTACAAAAAGATAATGTCACGTTAGATATTAATTTATTATTTTATTTTAATTAAAAAAATTTAACCGTTATAAAATATTTATTTTTTAAAATTTATAATAACTCATTAAAATAAAATTTAATTTAATTATCATAATTTTTTTAATATTATTAATAAATTAATTTATATACTCATTTAAATTATAGATATTATTGCTTGAATTATTTTCTTTTAAAAGAAGCTTGACAATAAATTAAACCACAAAGCTATTTATTTATTTATTATTATTATTTATTATACGTTTAAAAGAAAATTAAACACATTTGCATTTGTTTTTCAAAATTTATAAGCTTATAAACTTATAATTTTTTTTTATAAAACAAAAAATAAAAAATATAATTAATAATGAACACCAAAAAAAATTTCAATTTATATACAAAATATTCATACACCTATCAAAATATCAAAAAAAAAAAATTCCCTAAATCTTTCATAAAATAAAAATGACGACCCAACAACAAAAAACAAGAGTCCGAAGCCAACTATGACGACCCAACAACAGAAAACAAGAGTCCGAAGCCGGCTATTACTGATCGTGTCCGAATCATCGTCACCCTCTAACCCCACGAAGGCTCTTATGAACTTATAAATTCTAACTACTCATTAGCTAAAAGGTAATAGTTACCTCAAGAAGAGTGTAAATATATATTGCTCATTAAATCTAACAAAAGAAGGAATAATTGCAACATTCTCCTGCTACAAAAAATGGCATAAACTGAGAATCCCTTCCCCCCTAACAGAAAGGTATCAAAGTCATCAATGCATCACCATTTACCTTCGCCCTAGCCATCCAAAAAATTTCAAAACAACTCTGAAATATTCAGAATATGTTGACAAATGCAATTGTGCAAGTAATTTTGTGTCAGTTTATTTCACATACTAATTTGAGCTAAATTTCTGCTATACACAAAAACATGAATTGCAAGATTCTCAGAAATGATCTTTTGCTAGGCGGATGACACCCAATGCTTCTGCCTCATTTGCTGTTTCTGGAATTTGTAACGACCGACGGATCTCAATGCTAGAAGTGCGAAGGAATGGATTACACGACTTCTCCATCTTTAGCGTGGTTGGAATCTGAGATAAAATCATCTCATCAGAGATTGAAGTGGGTTAAGGGCAAACTCTAGCTATATCAATCCTCAAACGAGGCCACAGGATAACCACTCGGAACCAGAAAGTGAAAAGTTCAGTTACTGTTTGCCTGGGGACTAAACTATTCTACTTAAAAAAATGTTGTAAACAGCGTAAACCAAATGAATCAGACCAGCACCATTGTGGCTTGTGGTTCAATTTTCATTCAATCCATAGTTAATTCGTACTTCTAATTCTTATATCAGTTTTTATGTACAAAGTTAGAAAATAATTTGTTGTTCTTCAAGCAACCACATTCATTCAGCAAAGGAGTTGAATTCCCACTATCAATAAAATCAAAATGGCAGTGGTGGTAACTCGAACATACCAAATTTATTCCAATTATGTATTTTATGACTCATGAAAATTACAACTAGGAATTGACCAGTAACTACATAAGAAATGAAGCAAACACAGTGTAACTGGAAACCAGCACCAACTCACAATTGTGACATTCACAAAATCCAGATGACAAGCCAGCAAATATTCCCAGCAATTAGAGGGTAAAACACGGACAGACTTCTAGCTATTCACAAATTACCAGTACAATCATTCAAGAAGCAAAATTTTGATTGTTTAGAACTCTATTACCTGCTGGTTAACTTAAGAGAGTGTTTTGGATTTTACTTAAAGATGCTTAGAAACAATGATAGCATAAAAAGCATCATACCTCTTAAATCCTAAAAATTACAAAATAAGCGCCATAAACATTAATCTTTTAGGTTCTAATTTTTGACTACTTAATTTACTTAATTAACCGGTTGATATTCTTTGATATTAATAACATATACATAAAAAATGCAAGTAAGGAAGTATTAGTAATATTTTTATTTTTTTTATTTATTTTTTAATAAAAAACTATTTATTTTTGCAATCAGCATTTTATCCAAACATGTACCTTTTATTTTTCCAAATAAGAAATTACTAGTATTAAATAACTTAAAATACCCCCCCTGCTTTATGCAGATAAGCATAATGGTATTATCAAAAGCTTTACTAAGGGAGAAATAGAAATTACCGTAGGCAATCCCTTGCTGCGCAGATGGGCTACATGTGCTGCATAAGATTGGAGTGCCTCGTTATTGGGTTCTATAGACAATGCAAACTTGGAATTACCCTGTAAAATGTGGTAAACCACAGTGAGGGCTCCAGAATTGAAGTTAAAAAAATTTAAGAAAAGGCGGAACAAAAAATCTGTATAACAGACCAGTGTATATTCATGGCCGCAATATATATTTGTATCGTCTGGCAAAGACATTATCTTCCGAAGAGATGAAAGCATCTGGAGCATTAGTAAACAATTGTAAACATGTAAGATCATAAGAAACCAAAGGTGTGAGCATTCACCTATTTTCACTACATAACTTATCAAAAACATCATGAGGGGGTTTGATGACACTAATGGTTTTGACATTTTAAAGAATAGATGGTTTCAGATCCTAGATTTTTTGTTAAGGGGTCATCCTCTTGGTACTATGGAGGATTTTACAGAACTCATTGATATGCTAATTGATATGTAAATAATATACATGGGTTGCACCCATTTGATGATCATATTAATACACATGTTTATTTTTTTAAAAAAAAAAATTATCGAAAGAATCATGAGTCTAGAAGATACTTTTAGCTGTGTAAACATGCTGAGTACCCTGGATAACAGTAGTAGATATTACGCAAAAATCTATTTCCTACACCCATTCTCTTTTTTCTTTAAAATGGACAATGGAAATGTTATAGAAATTCTCTACAAATGCAAGCTACATAAAACAGCCAAAACTTCATTCAGTACTTTTTAAAGATTGCAATCAATGTACTCTCATGAAACTCCCAAACCATGCAAAAGAAAGTTCACTCAGTTACTAATACATGTTTCAATGGCACTAATGATAATAGAAAAGATGATTCTCACCAATGTGAAAACTGATATAAATCAATAAGGAACTCACAGAATTAGTTTACTTGCATATCAACTCTACAGCTTCCTAAGCAAGATGTAAAACACTAAGTAGGTGTTTCCAGTTTCTCCTTACATTTATTTCTGAGACATCCCATACAAACAGGCAAGGATTCCCACCATTCAGATGAGAGGGATATAACATTTAACCATCCACATAAAACACAAGTAACATTCACCTGATCAGGAGTGCCTTCAAAAAGCTTGCCACATGATAAGCTAAACAAAGTATCTCCAGTGAAAATTGCCCCTGATCCTGGAAAGTAGAAGCTAATATGCCCTGCTTGCAATTCAAAGGAATACAGAATATCAGGTGTTTACAAAAATTGAGACTAACATGTACTCTGGTTTATGCTGTAAACAAATAAAAAGAACAATGTTAAGTGTTGAATATTTTTTTTTTTGGGAGAGAGGAGGAGGAAAAGAACCCAAAGGCACCAAAGGGGCACCCAGTGGTTGAGGAAGATATATCATTGAGATAAGCATAGTGCTCCAATTGGCCATCCATATATCTGCCCTTGGGAGGGGGGTTAGATTAGGACCAAAAAGTTAATGTGCATTTATTCAACGGTTTAATGAATTAAATAATCTAACTATCAAATGGGTGGTACAGAAAAAAGCCAGTTAAGAGCAAAGAGCAATTCACTATGGGAAAAAGAGTTATTTGGCATGTGGTTTTTCCTGGATTGTAAACCTGAAAATATATTTCTAAAAAAATGTTAAATGAATATCTTATGTTATCTAATGAAATACAACCTCTTGTATGACCTGGAGTTTCAATCACATGCACCTCATGGCCTGCAAACATCCACTTGTCTCCATCATTCAAGACTATATCAATGCCAGGTATCCTATCCTTGTCCACAGCCGAACCGATCACCTATAAGCAACAAGAGCACATATAGTTATATACTACAAACTTCTATGAGACTTATATCCACCACTGCATTAAAAGAATAGAATGCATATCCCAGTATGTAGAAGCTCTAGAAATCAGTATGGAGTCATTAAGACATTTCTGAAATCCTTAATTAAGAAGAAAAGGATAATTTTCCGATCAATAAAACAGGAAAGTCATCACGAAAACATAAAACTAAATAAGGAAGAATTCAAATCAGTAAACATATATGCCAGTAGATCCAAGCGGCAAGAGAAGAATTAATCATGTCCTTGAATAATTGTTTTCTTGAGTTCCATCCATTTCAAATATGAATATACAAGCAAGCATGAGAAAAAGGAGATGATATAATCATACCTTTGCACCATACCTTGCTTTTAACTCTGCGTTTCCACCAGTGTGATCATGATGATGATGGGTATTTAGTATGTAAGTCAGATTGCATTTTTTCTTGCTTAAAGCATCTATAACAGGTACAGCTTCAGAAGGATCAACAACTCCAACTGTGCCTGTGTCTACATCATGTAAAAGGTATGCATAGTTATCCCTTAGACATGGTACCTGAAAAGAGAAATCGGTGAGTTATGTGAAGTATGAGAATCCTACCAAATATCAGGATTGATAGTGTTAGCCAGAAATAAGGATCATAAATCTGGAGGAACTGAGTTGCATATCTTTAGAAAAACAAGCATTTAGTTCAAAAACCATTCCCTTCAGCCCCACACCAAGATAGCCTGTTACTGTATCTTTTTCTCGATCAGAGATGTAGTGAATCAATTTCAGATTATCTCACCTCATTCCATGTTCAAGACATTATATGCAGTTCATCTTGCAAAATTTCTCCCTAGCAAATTTGTTCCCTTCCTAGGGCTGCCTAAGAGTGTACCTAAGATATCAATTAAAGTTTATTTTGTGGATCCTTTTTTGCAAGTAATTCTATTCTTCTATGAAAAAAATTGGTCAGTTTACATATGAAAATTTTCATAAGAATTACTTCATATTCAAAGACTAAAAATTAACCTAGCCCTTCCATATAGATGCGTAGCCATAATCTCACCAATGAAGAAGAGCAAATGGACCTTGTAGAAAATGTCCAATGTCTAGTGCTCGAGACAAGAAGAATACAGTTTAAGCAGAGAGTGGAAGGAGATAGCCAAGCCAAATGCCAATACTAAGATATCACAAATCTTTTTTTTTTTTTTTTTGAGTTCAAGCTTCATATAGTCTAAACTGAAAGGCCAATACTCAGGTATTCCAGCTTGGCTCAAAGTTATAGTGGCAATCACAAGGATAAGAGATCAAGATCAGTTCAATTTTAATATTAGAAATAGCATACTAGACACCATCTCTCTCTCTATTTGTGTGTGTGTATATATATACATATATATATATATTAAAAAAAAAAGGACAATTATATATTCACAGGAACCAAAGGGATGCAACTCAAAGCAAATTTAAAAGTTAACCAAAATATTAATCAGGTCCCAAAGATCCTTCACAGTGTAAAGGGGATGACCTTTAAGAAAAAAACCTAGGGACTAGAACCAATAATCTATGAATCTATCCACATTTACTCTATCTATATATTTAATAAAGAATAAGTCTAGCTAGTCTAGTTTCTCAAGAAAAAAGGAGATAACAATAAATCTAGAAAAAAAAAAGAGATAACAACAGATCTAGTTAGCTTTCAAAAGCACAGAGCCAAATTTTAAAATTGCTCCACACCAGCTCAGCTAAAAGGTCAATCTTAATCCAAAAATGGAGCTTGCTTCATACATATATACTTCAAAGAAGAACCAAGTGGAACCTTGGACTTAACCAACAGACTAAAGGCCACAAATGCATAACTTTTTACCTAATATAAAGATTGGAAGGAAGCTTGTTATTTGGAACTTCAATCATACACCTCAGTCACACAACTATGTCTTCCCAAAAAACCCATAACAGTTCCAAACTAGATCTTCCCCCTTTTTCACAAATGAACTGGCGGTGGTTAGTTGAAAATAAACTTGTCGTGCACAAAAACAAACCATAGAAAATTTCCAAACAAAAACATAGAGAAAAGGATAGATCAGGTGAGCATATATTTTAGATACAAGATAAAACAAAAGGAAGCTAAACTGTATACCAATTCAATCTGCAAAGAGGAAGACATGTTGGAAACACTGCAAAATTGAGTAACCCTTAGAGTTCTACTTGCTCCTCTCAAGGTTTTCAATGGCATAGACAAGAGATGCATGAATCCATACAAGAGACCTTTTCTGAGGCAAAGATGTCTCATGCCTGGCCATACACACACACCACTCCTTGCCTGTAGTAGAGAAAGAGTTATTAAAAAAAAGTTTTTGAGCTCCATTACTGCAGAATAAAGGCTCTACATAAAATCAACAACAAGCAATTAATGGCCCAGTACTAGGCATCATCTGAACTCCAAACCCCAAAAACATTAAAGAAAATAAAAGAAACAGAATTAGCAAAAGGGAACCAATTTCATTCCCCAAATAACAGAATTCCTGTAATTACATGTCATTTGCAGCACAGCCATCATCCTACCATTACCATCATTGATATTTAACAGGTTAGTGACCAAAACCATCGCAACATTAGCATAAACTTGTTTCTAAACACAACAATTATAGGCCACAAAGATCCAATTAATGGTAACTTCTAGATTGCATTAAATAGTCCAAATTCATCACACAAATATAAAACATCATTCCTGACAGCAGAGGTAGATCAGTTTGCAAGATCCAATTTCCAGTACATTAGTTACTTAATGAGTAAAAACCCAACATACTTATATTGAAAATTTCAGGAAATAAGAAAAAGAAAGCCTAACTAAAAGTCTCAAAAATGAACAGAATGAGGCACCAACTACCAGTTAAACACAAGAGATTCAGATAAAAAAGTTCAGAAGAAAGAATCCGTCGTCTTATGCGGGAATATATATATATATATATATTTAAATCACTGAATAAACAACTCACGAGCGTAGCCCGTAAACCACTATTGACCACAAAACCTACATGATATCGAACTTCTATTTCTCGAATTTCCTATTTTAGCCCCCCAAAAAAAATAAACGAACACGACTGACATCATAGAATCCTAAAGAATCGCAGAGAAATTCACTGTAACAGGCCTAACTACCAATTCAACCAGAAAAGGAAAACAAAAAAAAGGAGAAGCGAACCAGAAAAAGAAAGAAAACAAACCCTAGAGCAAGGAAGGGAGGCCATAGCACAGGAAGCTTTAGAGATCATTTGCATCTCTTCTACTTATCCTCTCTCGTGCGGGGATTTTAGACAAACATGCTTCTAGAGAGACACAGGTTTGAAGGGAAGGGAAGGGAAGGGAAGGGAAGGGAAGGGAAGGGAAGCATGTGTACCTGCTTATGGGCTGTCAATCAATATTAATTTTTATTTATTTTGAAAAAAAATTATTAATTATGGTGATAAAGTCACGAGCGGTTGAGCGATTGGAGGCATTTACGCGTTACACGTGGCAGTGCAAGTGGCCGCGTTGTTGTTATGATTGTGTCACCACTTCTGTCGACATGTACCGGTCACCTACCACTTTCTGAAGTGGCCTTAATTACAATCATTACGTAGTATTTAAAGCAAAGTAAATTTCAAATCTCTAGTGGTGTTATTTATTATTAATAATAATTATATAATAAATTAAGGATAAATTATACAATGATTTTTTTTTATTATCATATAAAAATAATAAATATTATTAAAACAAATTATATACATTTTTTTGATGAAATATCTGTAAAAAATAATAAAATTTTATATAATTCATAATTTATAATAATAAATAAATTTGGTCATTATCACCCCTAAAAATATTATAATAAACTAGTGACAAATCTTAAATAAATCAATTAATAATTAAATTTTATAATTGACTGAAATATTACAACCGACCAAATTAAACTCTATAGTTTTTGATATTAATTTTTTATTTTATTTTATTTTATTATTTTATATTCATTAGGGTTAGTTCAAATGCGTAGTACTTTTAATTTTTTTATATAAATTAATTATAATTTTTTATAAAATTAAATTAAAAGCATTGTCCACATGTTATCAAATATTTATTATGTTGGTATTATAATTTCATGCATATTTTATGTAATTAAAATCAAAATCGAACTTAATTTCTGATTCCCCCAACTGCTTGTATCCATCTGTGATTTAACAAAAACCGAAAGAAATAATTATTATCCGACATAAAAATATAATATAATGTAATATAATATAATCCAGTTGTCAAACGTTGACTTTGTCTTTTTGAAATAATTTTATTTATTATATATTGAGATTGCAACAAAAATAGTTTAATTATTTTTACCCTTTTTTCGTATTTTTCTTGAAAACCTCTGCAACTCCACACCTGAAGTGAAACCTTGTTTTTCCATGTGGAAATAACTAAGAGAATAATGGTAAGCGTAGAAACAAGTAATTGCGTAGTCTCTGTCGACGGTGACGCCGACCCACTTGAATCTTTTTCTCAACTATGCTTTTGACATTTTTAGATAAGAAGTATATTGATTTTTCAAATTGAAGAAAATGTGATCAGTTAAAACAAATTGAAGAAATTACGAGAACTAAAAGAAATTGGCCGAGAAAATTTAGTTAAAATTCAAAATTTGCTAGGTAACGATGATCAAAGAGAGAAGGTTTAAAGAATAGAAAGCTTAAACCAATAGAAAAAAACTCAATCATACAGCGTTAGTACGTCCCACACGTATAAAACCATTATGTCGAAAGCGTGAACAATGCATTAGCTTATTAATTAAGTACGGAAATAACTTTTAAAATTAAAAAATTAGTCGTTTGACTTTAATAGCATCTTAAATAATTGATTAAATTAATAAATACAAAATATAAAATTGATAGAAAAAAATTCAATGAATTATTTATATTTTAGTATAGATTAAGATTTCATACCAACTTGGTTTTTGCTCAACAGTCGGAGAACGAAACAGAAAAAATTATTCCATTGTTCAAGCTTGAAATGGATTATTTTTCCAGGAAAGATAATCAGTTAGTGTTACAGATAATGCTGCAGCAAAAAAAAAAAGTTACACGAGAGCAGACCATGAGGCTGGCATTTCGCAGCACAACAGAATGCGATATTATCCTCTTTTCTTTTGGTTTGGTCAAAATCTTGGTAAACAGCAACCATCTCATAGTTCATCCTGCAAATAATGTTTGGAATTTAGTTTGGTACGATAGAAACGAAAATGTTCTGCATACACAGTCGATTTGCTATACCGACCATAGATGAAAATGGGAGGAGAAGAAAGCAACAAAAGAATGTATCCTTACGTGGTAATCATCCAGGTAATCCCGAGGATCACGCTGCAAAATAAGTAAATTGATAATCAGGATGAAACCTTCATTTGCTGAAGCAGCAAATAATCAATTTAAAATCACAAAAAAAAAAAAAAACTATCAGCTACGCTTTTCATATGTAAACTCTGAATCATATGTACTAAGGGCCTGTGATTGTTTTAATGAGATTGACATATGAAATAATCAATTCTTTGTTGCTGCTCCTAATCCGATTCTTTGATAACCACTTATCTAATTATCTCAAAAGCTCTAATAACTAATATTTTAAGTGATCAATTATTTGGATGTGTGGTGGGTTTCGTTGTGGTGTAATTGGTGAGCCTAAAAGGCTCAAGTGTATGTGATTTTTTGGACTCAAGGAACTAAAGTTCTTATAACCTGTGAAAAATGCGATAATGCCTTTCAACAGGAGTGCCGGGTGACTTCTAAACATGATGTTACGTTTTTCCTATGTTTGCTTATTTAGGCAAATCTAAGCAACTAAAACAGCTCCGTTGATTTAATATTTTCTACCCGTCGTCCTTAATGGCCAAAATAAGCTTGATCTAGAGCTGGGCAATTAATATATGTGCAAGATAATTTCAAACCAGTATTGAGAACACTTTTTTATATAATATTTAGAGCGAAATGAACCAATTTCTATCAAGGCAATTAACTAATATTGCACTCCAAAGCAGAAACAGTAAATTATTCATATGACTACAAGTTCAGAGAAAGAGATAGAAATGTTATTAAGGTACAATACCCTTCTACGGCGAGCCCTGTCCCCATAACGGCTGTCCCTCTCTCTTCTCCTCCTTTCACTCTCCTCTCTCGCTCTTTTGGCTTCCTACGAATCAGAATTCCCTTTTACTTCAGAAACTGTTCAGAAAAAAGATTACTGTCGATATCAAATTGCAACATGGCCTACAATCCTCTAGCTAGTTACCTCTTCTTCCCGTGCTTTTTTCTCTTTTTCAGCTTCCTCAAGAGCCTCTTTTTCAGCCTGAAATTTAAATACACGTTAAAGTGTTAACCATAAGCACCTTCATCATTGAAGCTGCAAATTGACACCTTCCGCCTTCCCCCCACCCATCCCAAATGAAAAAAAAAGAGCAATAACTCACCTCCCTATGGTTAGCAAGATAATCTTCTACAACTTCTCTGGCATATTGTGGATCATCACAAACCAAAATGTTATCATATACAGAACCAGCCTTTACCTGTAGTGATCAACATATTAACATGAAAATGAAAATGTATGCATATCAAGCACAATCAAGATAAAAACTGCTATATAAATCAAGACTGCTCTGTCTGATTCAACTTAGAGCTAAATCTTCGTTAAGAAAGAAGAATGAACATATGCAAACAGGTAAAACCTAGTTCCACAAAAGCTTAACAAATGGAAAAAAAGAAACAAAAAATCAGTTGATTGGCACCAATAGAATGCCATGTTACAGAATTACCAGCTTGGGACAACCAGAACCATTTGATTCTCGATTGAGTTTATTTTGTAGCCTCACTGATTATACATTTTATTTATTATTTTCTTTTTTTCTGAGCAACATACCGGCCTAGCTTAAAGTGTTAAAAAACTACTTTAATAACATGTACATTCTGTTAAATAATAAAACTGAACCAAAATTTCCACAATCGAAGCTAATAGGAAATGACCCAATTTATTATTTGACATGTTTCCTCACATACAAGCTTGCAAGGTTGAATGTGTAGATCAAGCAGAGGCCTACCCTAGCTTATGCTGAAATTATTCAACAAAACTTGGGCAGCAGTTAGGATTCGAAAAATAGAAATCTAGACTTATACATTTTCTTTAAATAATCTTGCTTTGATACTTAAATAATAGAATTAAACCACAATTTTCCTAAACCTTAAAATAATAATAGCAGACTCAATCTTCTTCTCATAAATTAACATGTTCTACCTCTACAAATTGAATGTGTTGTTGATTCACTATGGATATAGCAAACACTTTTAAATTTAGATAGAAATAACAGTCTGATGAAAATTAAATTCAAGTGGCAACTGTTGGAACGATGTTAACCAGAAACTAAATATCAGATCTTCGATGACTAATCAAATTTTGAAAAAGAACAAAAGAAATGAATCCGTACCTGCCAAACCTCAATGCCCACATATTTTATTGGCTTCAACACATATATATCAGGATCATCTTCAAACTCTGAGGAAGGGAAAAAAAAGTAGTCTTTATCAACTAGAGTTTAAGCTAAATCTTATTGTCAATGCCCCAGAGAGAGATTGAATCTCCATTAGAAACTAAGAGAGACAAAAGCATGAATGGCTAGCTTATTGTTAAAAAGGGGGGAAACCTGGAAAGGACACATTTCTTCAACTACACCTTTTTTCTTTTCAAAATTTTAGAACCCTTGCCTCCAAAAACATTTTCTACTATCATATATGCAACTATAACTTCATGCAACAGAAATATACCTGGGTTGTCGATCCATGGAGTCCTCCACTTACCCTTGTAGTTGGGGTTCTTGATTTTCTGTGGCAACAACAAATTTGTTTAAAACTAGAAGATGCAAGAAAGTATTTGGTTTTAGATATTTATTGCTAGCTTGAAATCACCTTTCGCTTCCACGGTCCTTTATATGCTGGATTTGGTATTTTAGGTGGCTTCCATACACCATCTTCTTCCTCATCCCAATTATCAGGCTATTCAAAGAAAAAGTTGTAGTGTCAAAAATCTAGTCATATGGATAAATAGCCACTATATAACGATGGTATTTTCTTATAAACTAGTTGGTTATCACTCTCTTAAGGACAAAACAAATAATGCAGAATTACGATTTGGCATAGCTGCCTTTTTTCGAAAAAAAAAGAACGATTTGGCATAGCTCCCACATCATGGATAATTGATTGCATAATAAGGACTTCAATGAAACAAATTTAGAAGAGGAGAGAAAATTTGCAAGTGCAAGCTGAAAAAGCAAAGATACACATGATCTCCCAAAAGCATAAAATCATAGACAATGTAAAAATCCCAAACTTAATATTATTAACTGCTTCATGAACGACGAACCTCTTTAGCCTTTGGATCAGGAATTTCTGCCGGAATCAAATCATACCCCTAAAACATCAAGGCAGGAAAAGAAAAAGCCTGTAATTGATATGAAAATTCACATATCAATGCATCACTAATCATCGCTATAAAACAGAAGGAACACAATACCTTAGGTTTTACATCATTCGGATCCTCAATGTATTCTCTGTCATCCCAGTCTGCTGGCTGTGAAAAGAATGCCAGTCAGTTATATACTTTATTAAGAGAAAAGAAAGGTAAGATGAGCAGTGACTTTACATAAAATTGTGTTATTACTTAATTTGCTTGGCGAGATGGATGGTGAATTTATGTGATGATGCAATAGTCTTTTATGTCTCAAAATAAATGGTTTTTCAGAATTTAGATTTCTCAAGATCAATGATGGAAGTATTAACAATCAATTGCAAGGTCACACATGTCCTAGAGAATGCTTTACAAAATCAGAGCCCAAAGTCACACCTTTTTCGCTTTCAAATCCTTGATTTTACGTGGAGGAAGTATATCCCAATCTGAATACATGCTTCCAAAGTCCATTTCTCTATTATCAACTAGGACAGTATAAGACGCATCCGGCCGAAGAATGAACGTGTAAAAATGAACTAATTTGTCAGTTTCACATTGTAGATCTTTCTTGATTGGATAATTTTGTCCCTGATAGGAAAGTATAACATGGAGCTTCTTTGTCTGTGAACCACATATATCTGGTCCAAACATCAAACTGCATTGAAAGAAAAGAGGTCAAAAGAAGTTGGGAAGTATACTCAGGTGCATTTTAAGGAAAATTAGCAAGAGAATGTTTTATACTGGCATTCTATACCTAAAGCAAGAGGATTTTATGAGATG